GGCAGGCCGGGTTTTCCCGGTCGTTCATGCTGCGCCCGGACAGGTCTGCTCCGCGCGTGTTTTGAGTCGGGCGTCTCCTCCGCGGAAGTTGTGAGTGTCTGGAAGTCGTGTGAGTGTGGTGCTCGAGGGTATGGTGTAGCAGCGGACGCGGTGGAGCTAGGTGGATGGTTTGAGTCGATGATCTGGGTCTTTTCCAACCTAAACGATTCCAAGATTCTTTTGTGCATGCGTGGTTTTGTTTGGTGTCGACTTCTGCGTGTGTCTCTTAATAATATTGCTAAGTCGTAAGTGTATGTAACAAAAGATGCCTTCCCTTGTAGGTTTTCTTTTTTTTTTTTCCAGTGGTATAATGTAATAAGTGCCTTGTTCTACTGATTTATGTTCTGGTGTGTTGTCACAGCCTTACCATGGAGATAAAAGCAGCTGTCAGAAGGTATGAAACAAGAAATAGGACAGCAGGAACAGAACTGTCATCATCCAAATCCCGAGTTGACTGGAGACGCACTAAAAGGGAGCTCATACTACTTGACAGCGATGATGAATCCTCAGGTACCTCTGAGGAGGAAAAGCCTACCACTTCAGAAGATGAGGAAGATAAAAAAGATGAAACCATTGTGAAGAACAGCCTTTCAGATCAGGAAGAGAAAAGCCACGGTGGGGAAGGAACAGAAGATGGTGAGGATGAGTGCATCATGCCTGGGAAGCGTAAAAGGCTGAACTCCTCTGTCTTGTATGACAGTGACGAAAGTGAGGACAGTGATATACTTGTTAGAAAAGTTTTTGCTAAACGTCACTGTATAATGGATGAAGATGAGACTTATGAAGAACAGCAACCTGATAAAACCTGCCTTACAGAAAATGCTTCTACTAACAAGAAACAGAAAGTGATTGCAAGACTGACAGAACTTGCAAGACAAAGAGCGACTCGGAGATCCTGCAGCAGTGAGAGTTGTGAGGTCTGGATTTTATCTTTGAAATTCAATTGGAGAAAATACTGAATGTAGGGGAAGGGAAAGACTAATAGATACAAATCAGTTGGATTTTATTTATTTTGTTTGGAGTTTTATTCATGACAAATCAGTAGTTCTGTCACATTTTGACAGCTATCACATTGAGTAGGTAACTACTGACTGCTGAAAACCTTCATCTTGGTTTAATTTTAATCACTGAGGCTTTAAGAACTTCATTTTCTCTTTCAGGCATTCTGATGATTAAGCAGCTTAGAACTCAAGTGTTTATCTTCTCTGCATAATCAGAAAGGAAAACCTTCTTTACTATTTTTTTTTCCATAAAGAAGAGATGTATGAGAGGACTAGCAGATTCTTTTTATCAAGAAGCAAAATACCTGCTGAAGTAATACAAAGATCTCATGTTAGCTTAATTCCTACAAATAGACTGAAGAGAGGTACATGGGGATGGCTGATTTAAAGCTGAAAATAGTTGTCATCTAATGCAGAATGATGTATTTTTTTAAACATATTATCTGTTTTTATTTGAACAAATGGTGTCCTTACAAGGTCAGATATCTTACCCAGTACATGTAGTATTTTGTCAGTACAAATACTGAAAATTCTTGGGTTTTAAATCCTTTTTAAAATACAGGATTCTAATGCTGAAGCAGAAACAGAAGAGGAACCACTCTGTCACTTGCCCCTCACACCAACAGAAGGTAGCGAGGCTGACAGTGACAGCATGAAAGATTTCATAGTCGATGAGGAGGAAGATGATGAGGGCAGTGACAACCGGCTACAGCGGAAGGAGCCACTGAATCCATCCAACAGCGAGCTGCTGGCGTACCACATCCCACACTGTAAGATGAGAACTGGTGACAGTTCTATGTGCTTAACCTGCTTGTAGTGCTGTAGTAAATACTAATGGACTGGAAATACATATACCATATAGTAGGATATGATAATTTAAAAGCAGATTCCTAAAAGGCTTTGATTTCTTGTGGAAGTACTCTGATTTCCACAGTGAACTTTTGCAGTCTTTCCGTAGCTTAATAAAGGGAGGATATAATATGAGGGGAAGGAAGGGAATCCTTCTTGTCCACCATTTTTAAGTTGGTCTGATTTAGGATGACATAGGCTACCTATGATGCAGTTACTCCTGTGGAGACCTAAAAGCATCATCTTCAATCTTGTGATACATGCTAAGAGCAGCTATATTAATTCTGGCCAGAATCTTTCTGGAGAGTGATACAAAATTCTTGCCATGAGTTTGGTTTTTTTCAGGCTGGACTTTTTTTTTTTTTTATGTATTTTTATTCCATGGCAGTGAGACTTGGGAGCACAGGTCTACAAGGGTTTCTGAATTTATTAGGCAAATTCAGCTGAACTGCAGAAACTAAGAAAAAGTTGATCTTTTATCAAAACTACTATATGGATGGAGCAGGGAAATTTGAAACAGAACTTTATGCTAGTTATCTTTTTACATATTTTGTTGTTCAGAAGCAGATATGTGCTGACTGGGCAGTTGATGCTATTCTATATGGTCACAAGCATTTGTGATTTTTCCGGTAAAGACTTAAGCAGAATTGTGTGTATTTGAAAGAAAGTTAGAAAAAATAAAAAGAAAACCAAACCAAACCAACCAAAACAAAAACAACCCTCCATCCCACCCTCAAAAAAACTGGGCTTCTCTAGTTTGCATTATTTTATACTATTCATAGACCAAGTTATTCTCTTCTTCTAGTGTTTGTAGCTCATACTGTGGACTCTTCTTGCTGAAAGGATGGGTGACCTTAGGATGCTAAAATTCATTAATTCCCACTGGGGTGAGAAGCATTATTTAAAGGCCAGGTCATAAAGGTGTGGATGTTATACATTGAATTTCTTTTTAAATCCATATTTAAATGACTTTAAAATACTAAATTTCCAACAGTAGGAAAAAAAGTTCTTTTTACATGACTTTTAACATCACTTACCATTTATTTATTTATGTATTTATTTATTAAATTCTGATTATATTGCTTTCTTCCTAGTGTCTCGCTGTGATCATTATGTACACTTCAAAAGAATAGTGAAGGCTTTCCTCATAAATGCAATTGATGACACTTTCCTGAGCTCATTATATGGTAAGTAAGTGGTGTTAAGTAATATAATAGTGCATCCAAAGTTGTACAAAGGCATTTATTCTCAGAAAAGACGTGTCTCCTGATTAGAGTACAGGACTGTGAGCCCTAAGAGTCTGTGGTTTTGCTGCTCTGTGACTTTGGGGGAGGGGTGCAGAAACTATCTGGAAAGGATAGTGTAATCTTGGAAAAATGTGTAGACTTAATTCTTTTAAGCCTGGAATGTATGTGGAGAAGTGTTTCTGTGTTACCAATCATCAGGAACAGTTCCAGGATGAAAGAAAAATTAATTTCAAAGTAGGCATCTCAATGAAGACATTGCAGGGTCAGCTGATTTGTCCAAATGTTGTGCACTTCATAGCTTTTCCTGAGGAATCTGATAGATAATAAATAATTTTAGATATGGAATTACTCTATACCCATTTTTTCTTTTCATTTTTTTAACATTTGTGCTATCAGATAAAACAAATTTCAGCTGCACTCAGTATTTCTTCTCTTGTTCTTGCTGAGAAAGTGCTTTTTGGTATTTGGCCTACTAGGGCTGAATGGCAGCTTCAGATGCACTGTAAAGATGGGATTAATGAGAGGACTGTCAGTGGCAGGTTTTGGAAGGAGTCAGCAAAGTGCCAAAGAGAGGAAATTTTGGTGTCATCAGGAACTGAGAGGGAATGTACACCACAGACTTCAGAATAAAGGCTGTGTATACTTGGAGCTAAAAATGTCTGTCATCTACCACTGCTAGAGTTTTTAGGTGTTAGTTTTGTTTTGTTTTACTGAGTGAGAACAAGGTTATGAGAAGTAAGAAGTAAACTTTACCAGATTTAGGTTATAATGGCTTCCTTCTATTTCAAATTTTTCTGCTCAACAAAACCAACAACTTCTGCCAAGCTGCTGGAAGTAGATCAGCTCTGCAAGTGAGATGGGGGTTGTATTCTGTCTTTCTGAAGAACATTGTAGAGTATGAACATAGCCTAGCGTTACAAAGATATATAATTTTATAACACAGAATGGATTTTTCCGAGTTAAGGGAAGTGAATCTTTTAATTAGTTTGACTCGAGGAGCTACTTTGGTGTTAGTATTCAGATTTCCATTTTATTGTGAGGGATTTTTTTTCTTGTCTAGCACAGCCTGTTCGAGCTTTTAGTGTAGCTGTCTTACTGAAAATGTGTGTGTGTAAAGTGTATATGGACAAACAGTTGTCATGGTGGCTCTAATGCTAATGACAATTCACTGTTTTTATTTAGAAAGCTAGATAGCCAGTGGTCTGGTGAGTTCTTTCTCTTTGATAACTAAGGAAAGCAGCTGAGTTAATTTGTATGTCTGTACATGCTGCAGCTCGAGACAGTGTGCATTGGCCTGCACCTGTGGAAGTCCTGTTTCGTTCCTGGAGTCCAGCACCTACTTGGGAATGATGTGGTTTAACCCCAGCACCACACAGCTGCTCGCTCACTCCTCCCCCTGGTGGTGGGACAGGGAGGAGAGTCAGGGGAAAAAAGTATAAGAACAGTTTAATAATTGAAATAAAATATTGGTAGTAGTGGTAGTAGTAGTAGTAGTATCATGATGATGATTGTTATTGTAATGAAAAGAGAGAGAACAAAGAGGGAAATAAACCCCAAGAAAGACAAGTGGTGCACAGTGCAACTGTTCACTACCCACTGACAGATGCTCAGCCAGTCCCTTCCTGGCCAACACACACCCTACCCCCACACCCTGTTTATATACTGAGCATGACGTTCTATGCTATGGAACATCCCTTTGGCTAATTTGGGTTATCTGGCCTGGCCATGTTCCCTCCCAGCTTCTTGTGCATCTGACAGAGCATGGGAAACTGAAAAATCCTGGACTTAGGATAAGCATCAGTTAGTGGAAACTAAAACATCAGTGTATTATCAACATTATTCTCACCCTAAATCCAAAGCACAGCACTGTACTAGCTACTAGGAAGAAAATAAACTCTTATCCCAGCCAAAACCAGGGCTGGGAGACAGTTGTGGAATAGTGTTAGTTCTACTTTTCCTTATACTTGTTTATTTCTTTTGCTTGAGTAAATATGTGGAAGTACCTGTGCTGCCTCACTCAGAGCATCTGACAGCACTGCTGAAGGGTGAAGGTCCATTTCTATGTGTTCTTTATAAGTGACAAGAGACTTGTCAAAATTTCTGCTGTGAAGCTGCTCAGAGCAGTTTTTCATGGATTACAACCTCCTTGTACATAAGCAGCTTACATAAGCTGGACAATGAGCAGCATGCTTCCCTCTCCCCACTCTTCCATTCTTTTCAGTGGGATGGAGTGAACGGGTCTCCATTTGGGATGGCAGCTTTTGACTTGGCTGTAGAGTTTATTCATGGTACCTCTTGTGATACAGAAGTTTTAAATAATTAAATATATCTCTTTATCAATGATGCATGGATCGCTTTTGTAAACAGATGGGACAAGACAAAAGAAGTATGCACAGGATATGTTGCTCTCACTTCATTATTTGGATGATCGCTTCATTCAGCCTCGTCTTGAGAACTTAATCTCTAGAAGTCGCTGGAAAGATCGATACAAGGTGTGTGACTTCTGTTTTAAATAGTGAAGTAGGCTTCAAATCCTGTTACTACTGACTTGACTTTTACTGCAGTTCTCTGTAAAGGTACGGTAATTGCTATAATTACATATACTTTTTTAATAGAAACTCATTGTTCCTTAATTTTATAACTTGTTTTGGTACTTAGAAATATTGGAAGTATTTTATCTGTTCATAACCAGGTAAATATTTCAGTGACAAAACAGAATCTGTTCTCAGTTACCTGAATGCTTCTCCTACTAACTTCAGCAGATGACTTTTTGAGGTTTTTTTTATCATTTGCTAAATGTTGTAACAAAATTTCTTCCTCCTCTCACAAAAAGATAAACCCGTATGTTCATAACGAACCTTCTACTACTTAAAAAAATAATTAAATCGATATACAGTAATCCAGTCTTTCTATACAAAGTAATAGAATAGTATTGGTGTGGTAGGTGTGGTGATCTAATGATCAGTGTAACAACAGAGTATGGACAGTGAAGAGATACAGTGTATTTAATTGAAGCAGACCAACTGATACAGTTGCATCCCTACCCCCTCAAATTAAAAAAAAGAGATGAGGAAAAAATAAGTACCAGGATGCAGGAGCCATTCTTCAGGTCTGAAGTTAAAAGAATTAATGAATTACAACTGAGTGAAGTGTTGGAAGATGAGAAGGTAAATGTTCACAGCTGAATAGTGAAACACTGCAGATTTGAATCTCTTTAGTTTCTCTTGCACCAATTTTGTGCAAGTGCAGAGTCCCCAGCAGCCTATTTGAGACCTCTTTCAGTTTACTGAGATTCTCTAATGGCATCTGAAATCTGTTTTTCAGGAGCGTGTGGATTGTTACCCAGATGTTCGCATAATCTTGAAAAAACCCAAAAGTGTGTCTTGTCAGGCCTGTGAATTGAATCGATATTGTAAGTTTAATGTGCTGCTCTCTGGGAAGCTTTATAATAGCAGAACTTTGGAAGTGGATGACTTCATGTCAGATGACAAGCAGGTAACTTCAAACAAACATCCTATATAATTATTGTTAAGCTTTGTCTAGTGTTACAGAAAATCATACAAAGAACAGAAATTTTATCATCACATCTAATGCCTATAATGCTAGGGGCAAGAGTTAAGCTACTCTACTTCCATTAATTCTATTAATTTTTAAAATATGAGGACTGTTTTGCAGTTTGGAGGAGCATAGTTTTGGATTTAGCTAGGAATTATGAAGGAAGCTCCTACAAAACTTATGAGGCTGAACGGAAGCATTCCCCTCTGCCCCCTTCATCCATTCTTCTTTGTTGGGAAAAGGTAGTAAAAAGTGTTCTCAAATAAGCCAAACATTTATCAAGAAAACAAACTTGATGTTTTTTCTATAACCTTTGTTTTGTCTGCATCACAATGATCAGTGTGCTGTTGCCTCCCTACTTTTGCCACTTAATGTTAGTACCTGGTGCAGCAGATGTACTAGCACTGCGGTAGGCACTGGTAGGAATACCCAACCATGATAAAAAAGACAAAGGGCACCAAGCCATGCCGTAGGGTTTATTGGTAACTCTTAGAGAAGATTGAAAATCCCAAAGCGGATTTAAGGAGTGGCAATCCAGTGGTAAAGAAATGGCACGAGCGAGTGATGCTCTGAACGTGCCTGGCATTCAACCTGAGAAACACTATGACTATTTTTTTCCATTCTGAGTATATCCTTTCTCCTTAATGCCAGGATCCTGAGGCTTTATATCAAGAATGCCATGTGCCATAGATTTACTTATGTTCTAAATACCCGAGCGCCTTTCCACTGAAATGAGACCGCTTGAAAGCCTTTTACTTTTGTGTGTGCCCCAAAGACTTTCCCAGCACAAAACTTGCATCGATTAGCTTTCAGAAACATTATAAAACTAACTTTCTGTGTAATGGACAATCACCTCCATTGAATGATCTTGTTTTCTATTTTGTTACAAGTAAGATTTGTTCTACATTGGGTCACTAGGTCTGCTAATTTCGTGCCTGCTATGCCTCTAGCATTCGGAGCATCTGTGTGCTCTCCAGCAGTTCTTGTTTGTTCTGGGTCAGAATGATGAGTGAAATCATGTCACTGTCATTCTAACAGTTCAAGTGCAGCCTAGTCAGAATTTACTGCTTCATTCTTCAGATTTTTTTACATCTGCTATTTCCCATGTAGCTATTCTCTCAGGACAGGGTATCTTGACATCTCCGTTGCATTGACATTAGAAATTGCTGATCTCCTCTTAAGAAGACGTGTTCCTAACTACTTCAATACATCTTATCAGAGCCTTTTTCTTATTACTGCAGTATCAGAACTACTTGTCCAAACTAGAAAACACTTCCATTTAAATAGTCTCACATCTTTTTCTCGCTCAATTGTCTCTAGTAGGAGATTTTGCATTAAACTGTATTTCTGGAATGAAACACATCTTTCATGTTGTTACATGATTCTGCACTAGATGGTCATTTTAGATGACTGGAACAGTCAATTTTGTTACATTTCACAGCTGAGGCCTTTGAAGACCTTGAGTCTTTAAGAAGCTGGGTGTTTCTAATATTCAGGGATCTTCCCTTCAAATTTACAGCTACCAATAACTGTTATGATTAGGTATGCATATGACTTTCTTAAGTAATGTAATTCCTGATCTCTTATGAAAAGCTCAAAGCACATCATTTGTCAGGAGGAAAATATTGCTGCAGTTGCGTACCAAGCTGATATCCAAGTTTTGCCTTTCTTCCCCTTTAGAAGGTGTAGAAGGTATATTCCTTTTCTTCGTGGGTGTAAAAGAATTTTTGAATATGAGTGAAATTCCTCCAGTACTTGCTGAAAAGAAAAAAAGTGACAGAACAAGTTGTATTTGTAATGTATTTTGAAATGTGGTGTGATAGGATTTCTTATATAAAAATGAAGCAAAGCTCTCCTCAAACTGAAGTATGCCTTGCTGAAGCTCGAGTCTGTATTGTCTGGATCTCTGCAGATATTCTGATTTAGAGATTTGAGGAGTGTCAGTGTGATTATCATTGTGTCGTCATTGGGCTCCACATGTAATGCAAAATCTAAGAAAATCTGTGCCACAGCTTTTCTTAAATAGATTACAGACCCTGCTGAGCAGCAGTTGTTATTACTCTGGTTATTGCTCTGGCCTGGTGCGTGTGCATGATAGTCACAAGAGTTGGGCTTTTCCAGCAAGGCTCTTGATCAGCAATGCATTGATCAACTTGTCCTGCCAAATGAGAAAAAAGAGAGGAGGAAGGAAGACAACAGGCACCCAGAGCTACTTCAAAAAAAAAAAAAAAGCTAGCACTTCAAGGACTTAATTGACTGAAAAAGAAGGCAGTTCAGCACTGGCAGATCAGACTGAATGGAAGCACATAGTTGGACTATTTTCTAAAGTTTTATTTCAAAATATCCAAGAAAAGTGGATGTGGAGAGAACAAAACCAGACCTCCAACCCTCATCTTCTGCATAAAACTTTCCTTTTCTCTCATCTGTGAAGTATTCTGCTTTGCCAGTAGAAAGAGAAGAGAAACAGCTGTTCCAATTCTGCTTAGGCTTGCAGTGATTGTTTTGTATGTAGCTGCCAGTTCTCATTCCTCCATTGTCAGAGGGAATCAAACAGTTTAGAGCTATAGTGTCCTCCACACTTCTTTGCTCCTGTGTCACCTGGACTATAAACTGTTTTCTACTCTCAGTCTTGGTGTTCTACTTCCCTTTATAATCATGCTTGGAGGACATGGATTCAGTCGCTGCTTGTTGTGCTATTGTCAGGCTCTGCTCCTGCATTCCTTACAAAGTGATTTAACACAATTTTGGCTGATACGGACAGCCTGAGTAGATAAGTTAAGCATTAGGACAGAGTCACTGAGGACTGCAAGAGGAAAAATTTAGAATGAGTACAGTACTGAGATTCTTTCCAAAGCTGCATTCTGAAATAGCATTGTATTTTTAGACAATCTTTCTTGCTTTAAAAACACAATACGTAATCACATTATACAATACTTAGTTATTTGGCTCTGACATTTCTCCAATGTAGAAATTCTTTACACCTCACACATAAATGAACTATGAAATTAATTGCCACAAGATACTTTAGGAGCAAAAAGTGTTAGTGGGTCCCAAAAGGTCCCAGTTTCTTCAAAGATAGGTTCTTGGGGAACTTTATTTCACACTATGGAACATGATAGTTGGGATGATAACTGTCTTAACTGTTGACTGCTAGAAGCTCTATGGTAATACCATGATCATTCTGATATTCATCCTGCATCTCACACTAATCTATCATAGAATGGTTTGGGTTGGAAGGGACTTTAAAGATCATCTAGTTCCAACTCTCTGCCATGGGCAGAGACACCTTCCACTAGACCAGGTTGTGCACAGCCCCATCCAACCTGGTCTTGAACACCTCCAGTGATGGAACATCCACAACTTCCGGGCCAACCTGTTCCAGTGTCTCACCACCCTCATAGTGAAGAACTTCTTCCTGATGTCTAATCTAAATCTAACGTCTTCCAGTTTGAACACATTACTCCCCATCCCATCACTACAAGCCCTTATAAAAACTTCCTAAATATCTCCTGCTAGCTGCTGTCATGAGGGAAGAACTGAGCCATCAGTTTGATGCAAGATGGTATCTCCTACTTTGTGTCACATAGTGTTCCAGATGCCACACCTCATTGCCTGGGATACTTGGAAAGTTATGAAATGCTGTATGGAACACCACAGCTCAGTTTGTGGTTATTTCAGTATTTGAAATAGTACTTCTGGAAATCTGAATGAATTGAGGTTATGCATTGGTTGGTGAGTCTTGCTCTTCAGAAGCAACTATAGCACCAAACAGAAGCCTTGGCCTTTCAGTTTTGGGGAGAGTAGAAAATAGAGCTGCATATAGGCACATGTACATGATCAGTAGGGAACTGCAATAGAGTAATAGGAATTTTTTATCTCAAGATGGTTACAATTCCAGTTAATAACCATTTACTGTAGGTTAGCGCAAAAGTTCTTTAAAGTGAGTGTGTCTCTTGCCTGCAGTGGTCTTACACCTGTTTCTATCAGTTGAGCTGCAGTTTAATATATTTAAGAAATTAAAACCATAAAATGTATGTAACTTTGAGCTTCAGGTTTTATTTTTATGAAATCCAAACACTCTGTGTATTTATTTTGGAGTGGGTGAGGGACAGTGTGTCCCTGTAGGAATGGAGTGGTTGAGATGGAGCTCTCTTTCCCCTAGGGTCACCAAAGTACCTTGAGTGCTCCAGTACCCATCCCTGAAGGTATTTAAAAGCTGTGTAGATGCTGGGGGACATGATGTAGTGGTGACCCGGCAGTTCTGCATTAACTGTTGGACTTGATGATCTTAAAGGTCTCTTCTAAAAATAAACTAATTCTGTAGTTTTATGATTTATTAAATGCATGTTTCTAGACATATGCCTATTTGTATTCATACGTACTTCTTGAAGAAATATTGACTATTACTCAGTCTACAAAATGCTATAAACTGGTATTTCATGTCCCTAGGAGGTACTACATATTAAGCAAAAGTAATCAAATAATTTCTCTGCCTCTGCTTTGTCTAAAATGTTAGTGATTTTATAACAGTGTTCCACCAGGAGATAGGAAAGATACCACAGCTTACAAACATGGTTGTGTTTCCAAGAAAACGGTACTGAGAAGCTGCCATTGCACAGACTTGCTAGCTGCCTGCTTGCTCAAAAATTGTTTTGCTGTGGCTGTGAAAACTACATGGTCTTGTGCTGATTTTATGCATGTAGTGCCTTTCTGTTTATTTCATTATTCAAAAAATCTTCCTAGACTGACTTATAAAATCTTACTAGACCAGCTTAGCCATTCTTTATGTTGTCAGGATAATCACAGCTGTGTCAGAGGGAATGCTTTGTTCACTTTGGCCTAGGTTTTGAGGGTTGGCGTGGTGTGTGCAGATCGTACAAGGGTTTATCATAATTTGAAGCACTTCAAATACAAGTTGTATGTGGATTGCAGCTCCCTGACCGAGCTGGATGGCCTAGAGGATGAACCAGTCAAAGACACAGTCGAGCGGCTTTTCAGCCAGCTGGAAGACAGTGGGTGGATTCAGAAGGTATGACTGAGTTACTTGCTAGGCCTTTTTCCAAGCAGATAAAAGTAAGCTGAGATCAAATTGATCCGTTATGAATTACTGAGCTTCAGTAATGTAACTCAGCTTGACCATTCATGCAGTTCCACTGGCCAGCCTCTTGAACAGTGGTATGCTGCTGCGTTCACACAGAGTTTGTGTCAGCTTTGGACATGAGGCTTGTTGACAGCTGCATGATCTATGGGCTGTGGTGGGCAGGCTCTTGTTTCGTGTAAAAGAAGCAACACAACACACTCTAACTTAGAAAGACTGGCAACATGTATGTGAGGCACAGCAAGAATATTTTACTCTTCTGTTTACGGTGAAGTACTTTGAATTATTCGGAAACACTTTATGAACCATTTTAAGAGAAGTTGTAGTACAGTTGCATTTAGCAAGCTTTCAGAAATCAGTGCTTCTGAACTGTTACTGGCATTCTGGTACTGAAAAAGAAAAAGCAGTCTTTGTGCAATTCAGTTATTAAACACTGATAAAATAATACAGGCTTTATTTTATTTGCAGAGATATGATGATCTTGAAGACTACATAAATGATGCAGACAATTTTCAAGAAGAGAAAATTGATTAAGTGGTAATACAGCTCTTTGAAAGACAACTTGTAAAAATTTGAATGGCCTGCTTTATCTGCATGCACTTTATCACTGCCTAGTCTTCAAGATGCTTTTTAGTTTGTGTTATACTCCATATGCCTTTCAACTATGGTTTGAGAATGTCTGTATTTTTTTTTCTCATCAGTGACAATAATGAAAGTTTTACCAAATCAATCCTCCCAGTCTTACTGCATAGGTCACTGGAAGTTTCCTTCTGTTCTTGAAAATAACATGTCGGTGTCTGTTTACTCATGAAATAAAACTTCCACCTGTTTATACAGAACTGCATGGTAGGGAAGGTGGGAGATGGTGAGACCTTTTGGAGTAGGCATATTTGAAAAGGTAAAGCTGTGTTATGTAAGAATGCATGACTGGCATCTTACCTTCCTTGTTGCTCATTATGCAAGTAAGTCCAGCCATTTAGAATGGTAGCTGCAAGAAAGAGGACCCAAGTGCAAAGATGTGTTTCCCCCCCTGAGGACTCAGTGTAGACTGTTGAAAGGCAGCAGAGGAAATATCCTGCAGCCCTGGCGGCGTTTGCAGCACAGCAGTGACACATCTCCTCAGAGGGTACGTGATGAGTCACTTTACAGGCGTCATACAGGCTGAGTCTGCCTTAGCCATCTAAATGAACTCTTGGGCCCACAGTGCTGTCTCTGATAAGCAGCTGGAGCAATTTACTGAGATTTTAAACATTTACATTGTGCAAACATAATGGCCACAACATGCAATAATTAAAAAATGAATATAATAGATTCATGTGGCTACAGCCAGCTGTACCGTGGGCTGCATCAAAAGAAGCATGGCCAGCAGGTTAAGGTGATTCTCCTGCTCTACTTTGCCCTGGTGAGACTTCACCTGGAGTGCTGTGTCCAGCTCTTGGGGCCCCCAGCACAAGAAAGACATGGACCTGTTGGAGCGGGTCCAGAGGAGGGCCATGAAAATGGTCAGAGAAGTGAACTACCTCTCCTATGAAGAAAGGCTGAGAGAGTTGGGGTTGTTGAGCCTGGAGAAGAGAAGGCTCCAGGGAGACTTTACTGTGGCCTTTCAATACCTAAAGGGGGCTTATAAGAAAGATGGAGAGAGACATTTTTACCAACACGTGTAGTGACAGGACAAGGGGCCATGGTTTTAAACTGAAAGAGGGCAAGAATAGGTGGAAACAGGGAAGGAATTCTTTACCGTGCGGGTGGTGAGATACTGGAACAGGCTGCCCGGAGCAGTTGTGGGTACCCCATCCCTGGAAGTGTTCAAGGTCAGGTTGGATGGGGCTCTGGGCAACCTGATCCAGTGAAAGATGTGCCTGGCCATGATGATCTTTAAAAGTCTGTTCCAACCCAAACCATCCTATGGTTCTGTCCCTGCACTTTGTGCTAAGTATAATGAGACGTGGCCTAGGATAAGAGGCAGGGTACAGGGTTTTGAATGCAGTTAGGAACTGTTCCTATGTCCCTCTGCATGCACAGACACTTTTTATTAGTTTTTTGTGGCTGAGCAACTTAGTAAAATGGAAGACGTTAACACTCTAGATTCTTTTTAACAAGTTGCTCTCCCAGAAGCAAAACTAATGAAGCCTAATTCCTCCTGGATTTGTCCCCAAGAAATCCCCGCATTCATTACGCCACTCCGCTGGTAACAGGTCGGCTCGGCAGCTGCTGCCAAGCTGCTGCCAGGTGAGTGGCCTGTTGGTGAGCGTCTGGCAGCCTGTCTCCACAGGCACTGTACCTGAGATTTGTCATTCAGTGCCCCTTTTCCAGGATTCATGGTAAGAAGTGAACTGTTTTTTAAGGGGTTGAAGTTCAGCAATGGTTTATATGCTGTTAGAGTGAACTAATATCATCAGTTCTCCCATATACTGCATAGAGACACAACATTTACAAACCGAGATGAAAAATCCCAGTAAACAGATTGAGACTTACTCTCAAGCAAAACTTATATTGAAGATACTATTTCTGTACCTTAGCTGTGAGTTACATATGTAAATATTCTGAGTTTTGAAATATCTTATACCTATCTCCCTGGTTACCAAAGCTGAGGGAAATCTCTATTCTTTTTCCTTCTTCATCTCTGTTCTGGGTATATTGGTGGGAACACACCCATCAGTTTAGAAGTACTCAGGAATCCATCTCAAATACATCCCTTTTAGAAAAAGTAATGCCCCTCACAGCCCCATTTCTTTCTGTCAAAATCTCTGTACACTTTTGTTGGCTTCTCCAGAAAAATAAAATAACACTTAACATTTGGTGTAACTTTATTCTTACAAAGGAAAACTATTCTGAAATAAATTAGTTTTGTACCACATAATAGAGTATGCCCTCTCCGAGCCTTCCAGAGTTTTAACTTCCGTTGCCTTCTAAATTTTCTGAAAAACTCGCAAAATTGTATGGTTTTTATTTAAAAATTTTCTGTTAAAATGAATGGTCAGATTCTTATTTTGCCAAATTCAAACCATTTGCAACCAAATTAAAAATTAAGTTTAGGAAATTTTGGCTTGCTGATTACTGATATTTCAAGAATACATATATTTAGATGGAAAGTTAAAATCAACAAATTGTTCCAGTTATCAGTTTTATTCATTTTTTTTATACCTACCACATCCCAGATCATGGTTCTCACCTCTTTGTTCACCTAAGATGTGTTAGCTATCAATTTACTGTTCCTGCAGGCATTTTTTTCCCACATCTATGTTTTTCTGTCTAACAGGGATACAAAAGTATCCTGTTAGAGTTTAAGAAAGTGCCTCCATAGGTTTACCGATCTTGTCTGTGACATCACCAGTTGGACTAAGAAAATGCTTAGAATTGACATCTCAGATTTCTGTTTCAGTAGGAAGCTGCTACTTAATTTGGCTTGGCAGGGACTGACATGTTTGTGTGTACAGTCTCTCTTAAGCTTTGATATTCCCCTCACTGAGATCAGAGGAAGTGATAACGGTTTTGTGGCTGTTGTTTTACCTGAAGAGTTTCTACAAGACAGAGAATGTGAAACAATATTTCATCATCTTTACATTTGTCTTCACCACAGGGAATGAAAAGGTTGTTTAGAAGAGTATGTATGTATGTTTATATATATATATATAAAAGTTTAGATCAGATTTGCCAAGACAGGTTGTAAGTGTTTGCATTTTCACAGTATGAAGTACAAAGAGGACACTTACCCCTTGATTCTTTCTATATAGAAAAATACTTGGTAAGAATCTTTCTAGCAGAAAAATTTTGTGCAAATCTCTAATGATGGGAGAAGTCAGAAATCTGACCAGTCTTTCATGCTTCCTTTTCCAGGTTAGCAGATTTGAGTGGAGTTAAGGGGTGAGAGAATGTAATTGTTTGTACAATTGTCTGATACATGTTTAATTGTCTTTAGTGTTAATTTTTTGAAGTAGTAGCTCTAATTAAGATAAAGTACCAGTCTTAATGGAACAATGAAGAGAGCTCAGTGAGTGATGAGACTTGGTGTGGGCGATTACATGGGTGTTTCGATAATCTGCTCTAGTATAAGTTCTGTAACTGGAGACTGTGATAATGATAAAAGTTCACACAAGTTATTTGTGCCTACAGGATCAGGCCTACTAATGTGAGGTACTCCTGGGAGAGAAGGCCCCTGTAGGTCTATATTCTACATCTAGTTCTTGCAGTGAAATATAACAAGGAGGAGTTTTTCTCCCTATATCCCTCAATTTTTTGAAAGAAAGTGATTTGTGGAGCAAATGGGGTGGTAAACTTTGCTAATAGTAGATAGCTGTTACTGTCATTTTTCTGACATTGAAGGCTTCTGTTTCCAAAACGCAGCTATTTCTAGTAGGTCAGCAGGCAATTCCAGGCAATTCCCATGCTCAGCTCCTCTAGTTTACTTTTATTTGGATAAATAAAGAACTGTAGTTTTATCCTTCTTCAAGGCTGTCTGGATAAACAGTGTGGGTGTGTTAGAGAAACACATGTAAATACAATACCACCCAAGAGAAATACCCAACACACACAAAATAGACTTTATAAAGTTGACTTTCTGAGTCAGAAAGTTTCTTTTATTTCGAGAAATAAGAAATACCAATTTCTAATCTGAGTTCAGAGATGAGACGAGAATGTAAGAAAGTATGATCTACAAGCTAAGGAATAATAAGATTAATAAGTTAAATGGTATTGAAGGAACCTGATAATAATAACCCCTTTGGTGGCTGCACTTCCCTGGATAGTTTATGTGAATTTTGGTATTTTTCTAGATAACAAGTGATGGCATGGGGTTGGTTTGGTTTTCCTTGTTGTTTATTAAATGAGCCGTAGACGGTTTCTTTAGATTACCCTGGGGATTATATCCTTAATTAAAAAAAACTGGTGTGCATTCAAGATGACTTATTTTACAGTTTGAACAGAACAGTGACTGCAAGCAACTTGCGCCCAAAATGTAAAGACAAGAAAGCTGACGCAGGTGCAGTCAGACTCTGCCCCAAAGTTAAAGAATTGACCGGTTGAGTGGCGTGGACACGAGCCTGCCTCCCTGGGGACACCCCAGGAGATACAGCTGTGTGTAGCTGTTGTCACTCGAAATGGCTAAGAAGCCTGACTGAAAAGCAAATAGTGCAAATGGCTGAAAATTCAAAGCTCCAGTTTGCACAATCCTCCGTAGGACTGCTATTAAGCATGTGCCGTTCTGGTGGAGTTAATAGAACTTTGAAGTAATTTGAGACATGATTTCTGAACACAGATGAACGAGGTATGTGTCCAGATTTAAGCATGTGCTCAAGTTTTTCAGCGACATAGGTTCAGATTGGTTCCATTTTTGGAAAATTATTGGCACAACGGGACGTCTGTGGTGAGAATTGCTGGCTGTGAACCCGGCACAAGTAAGTGCTTTGCTGATCTGGAGGGGGCTGCCGAATGAGGGCACACAGAACTTCCACAGCAGTGCTGAGTTCACACAGGAAAACATGCTCAAGCGTGACAGCTCATGTGAGGTTATGTTCTCATGTGAAAATTAATGTAGGCAGAAGGAAAAAA